CTTTTTATATTTTTAGTTATATTTGTAAATAACATTGTTGTAATTGAGATTTTATTTTATAAAATTTTTGAAGTTTATTCTCAGTCTTCAATTTTTGTTTGGAATTGCTGGTTTATTTTAGGTGAATGACTTCAGATAAAATAAAGTAACTTTATTTAACACAAGGTTCTGACCTCGAGCAAAGGAACTGACCTTGGATATATATATATGAGGCGAACTATAAGTATAGAAATGGCAAAAGATAAAGTAAATCACCTCAAAAGTAAGTGTAATAAAATCATAACCCAACAAATGAAGTTACTGAATAAGTCACAATGAAAGGACTGAATACCTTTGAATATGAAGTGAAGTTCATTAATGATGTAAAGGAATTGAGTTTCGATATACATTGAACAGAAAGATAGAATAATGGCGATAAGACAAAGTTTGCTAGAAAGAAGTGCATTAAGGGTAAAATTTCTTCAAGTTATTGACATTCCAGACTCTAGGAACCCTTTTTCCTTCAGTGTCCCTTAGGATATAAGCACCTGGGTGGGGCACTTCGGCTACAGTGTAGGGGCCTTCCCAGTTTGGTGCTAACTTTCCAAATCGAGTTTCGAACCCCGTTAGACCAGCTTTCCTGAGAACAAGGTCTCCTACTTTGAATGTTCGGGGTCGAACTCGTTTATTGTAGAAGTTTGCTATTTTCTGCTTGTAGACTAGAGTTCGAAGTCATGCTTTTTCTCTGACGTCATCAAGCAGATCAAGGTTCTCCCGAAGCAGTTGTCCATTCCGTCCTTCATCGAAATGGGTGACTCTAAAGCTTGGAACTCCTATCTCGATAGGAATGACTGCTTCGGTACCAAAGGCCAGATGATAGGGTGTTTCATCTATTTCAGTGGATTATAACTTTAGAATGCGCTTTACACGTTATGCATATTTGCTCTAAGGTACAACCGTAGCAGAAGAAGTAAAGTAATATAAAATTAATCAAATAGGCCAGGTGTAGAGTAATACCTGTGGTAGTTCAACTCGTAGTTCTGTATGCCCAGAGGACGTTGTTGAGCTCGTCTGCCCATTTGGCCTTGTGTTGTTCCAGCCTCGGCTTTATACCTTCTAAGATGCACTTGTTAATAGATTCGACCATGCCATTAGACTCCGGATGGTAAATCGAGGTGAACTACAGTTTGATCCCGTAGCTGGAACAGAAATCTCGAAAAGAGGTGCAGTTAAATTGAGTTCCATTATCAGCCACAATCTGATTCGGGATCCCATATCTACAGATGATTGAGCTGAAAACAAAGTCTTCAACCTTCTTGGAAGTAAGACTGGATAATGGTCGAGCTTCAACCCACTTTGTGAAATAATCTACACCGACAATCAGGTGGGTTACACCACCAACCCCCTTCACGAATGGGCCCAAAAGATCCAATCCCCACTAAGCAAATGGCCATGGTGCTACCGGAGTAGTGAGCTCTTCTGCAGGCTGGTGAGTCAGGTGCGCAAAGAACTGGCATTTCAAGCATCTCTGAACAAAGTGAGTGGCATCCTTGTACATGTTGGGCCAATAATAACCCTGTCTAAGGACTTTATGAGCCAAGGTTCGAGCACCTACGTGACTTCCGCAGACACCTTCATGCACCTCCCTGAGTGCATATTCTGCTTCATAGGGATTCAAGCACCGTAGAAGAGGTAGAGAGAAAGATCGCTTATAGAGGATCCCATCAACAAGTGTATACCGAGATGCTTTCCTTCTCAACTTCATCGCCTCTTGCCTGTCCTCAGGTACTATCCCGTCTCGTAAGAAGGAGAGGATTGGGTCAGTCCAACTTGGTGTGCTTGGGTCGGTGCTGATCTCCATCACCCGTGGCTTCATGAAGTTTGGTTCATCTAAGACCTCCAAAAAAACTAATCTGGAATGTGAAGAATTATCAGAGGCAAATTTAGAGAGTGAATCTGCCTGTTCATTTTCAGTTCGGGGGATTTTGCTCAGACAGAATTTCTGGAATCTACACTTCAGCTCGGCCACCAGAGCTACATATTTTACCATCACAGGATCAACAACTTCGCAGATTGAGTTAATTTGGTTCACCACCAGCTAGGAGTCATTGTATACTTGGATCACACTGAGTTTTAATTCTAATGCTAGCTGCAGACCAAGTAGCAGGGCTTCATACTCAGCCATGTTGTTTGTTGCATCGAAGTTAAATTTCAAAGCATGTTCACTTCGGTATCCATCAAGGCCAATCAAGAGAGCACCAGCTCCTAAACCTTTGCTACTAGACGCCCCATCAACATATAAGGTCCAGTCATTGGGCTCCGGAGTAGGAATGGAATTACCTGGAGTGCACTCTACAATAAAATCTGCCAGTGCCTAAGCTCGGATTGCAGATCTCTGCTGAAATGTTATATCAAATTCCCCCAGTTCTACTGCCCACTTAATTAATCTTCTAGAACACTCGGGCTTTTGCAGAATCTGCCGAAGGGGTTGGTCTGTAAGAATAATGATTAGGTGCGACTGGAAATATGGCCTCAACTTTCTGGCCGAAGTGACAATTGCTAAGGCTGCTTTCTCAGCTATAGGATACCTCAGCTCGGCTCCATGCAGCACACTGCTGATATAATATATTGGTTTCTGTTGCTTGGCTTCTTCTCTTACCAGAACCGAACTAATGGCTTCATCTGAAATTC